GATGAAATACTAGGAAAGATTTTCGGTGATACGTTTAAAATGAGAAAAATATAATCTTTTTACGGCGGGGAAAAAGCGTTCAGCAAGATTACAAAAGCAAGAAAACCGTCTAAATTCCAATAACTCCCCCAAATCTGAAAGCATAGAAAGGAACCCTTCTTCTTAATTTATCTCTAGTCTGATTTTTTGCACCAGGGTTCGAGTATAGTTTCTGATTTCTGCTCGTTGATTGATTCCTGACCGAAGAATCGCTGGAGATGGAGGGTGTTGGTGTGCTGTCTGCTACCGACCAGCAACAAATGGTCTCTTCCTTTCTTGAAATTGCTGTTGGCCAAACCGCCGATACCGCTAGGCAGTTCTTGCAGGTTTCGATCCCTCTTTAATCTTTATTTTCAGTTGCTTCTTTCAATTGCTTAATTGATGTTGAATACAAAGTTACAAACACATACACGTTTCCTTCTACTTGTCTTACCGATCTTCAAACTGAATTCGATTGTGCGTTTGATAAATCTCCCCTCTTTGGACCTGAACATTTGATCCGATGAACAACATTTACCGATTACTGAATACTAGTGCCTTTTTTCTTATCAAAAACCATAATTGGGGCTTATCATTCTCTCTTGATGAAAACCCAAACGACAATCGACTTCTTAGCGTTTGACTGCCGTTCATCTGCAAAATTTTGCCGGATTACTTCTATCATTACCTTTTAAACGTTACGAATATCTTCTGAAATCTTATATCATCCATAAAGATCTTGTTTTTAGTAACAATATAGATGATCATTTTACTTTTAGGCCACAAGCTGGAAGCTTGAAGAAGCGATTCAACTTTTCTACATCGGAAATGAAGGTGGTGCCGCCTCATTACCACCATATGCCCCGCCACAGAATGATACAGCCATGCCCGACCAAAGTTTAGGGTAAATCACCATAAAAATTCCTAAAAATATGTATCCATTTATATAGTTCCTTAAATCGTGTCTTATATAGTTATATAATATGTTCATACTTCAGATTATCAGAATTTGAAAATATTAGAGAAAACGATGTCAGTGAGGTCCGAGCACCTCTACCAGTCAAACGGGATGTTCTATATGACACTCCGATGCTTTACGGGTGTGTAATTTACTAATTTTTTGAAATCTTGTTTTGCTTTTGTAATTATATTGTTCTTTATATTTTTATAAGATTTTGTTATCTGATTAGGGCATCAAGAATGGGGGTTTCTCCACATGCTACAATTCCATTTCGAAATTTTGATGAGGAATTGAAACGTCCGGGAGTTTGGGAAACAGATCAAGGTTCCACATCAACAACAGAAAGTTCTAGAGATAATCTTGCTTCTTTGTATAGGCCTCCTTTTGCTTTGATGTATCATGGGCCGTTTGAAAAGGTAATTAATGATTATTTTATGGGTCTGTTTGGTATGATGGAATGGAATGAGCAACGTAATGGAATAGGTGATTACATTCCATTTTCCGATCTGGACCTTTTAGTCATTTTTTTTTTAAAAAAAACTTGTAAAATGTGAGGGTTTTTTTTTTGGAAAAAACTAAAAAAGTTGAGGTTTTTTTCGAAGAAAAAAGACAAAGTTGAGGTTTTTTTCGGAGAAAATGAAAAAATACAAGGTCTTTTTCAGGAAAAGAATAAAGTTGAGGTTTAATCTGGAAAAAACACAAAATATAACGTCTTTTATGAGCTTAATCCTATTTTATAAAAGATAAAATTAGATCATATAAAGATGTAACGCTAAATATATTAAATATAAGCATATTTTATGACATTTGAAATATATACTATATGCATCTTAAATGATTAAAAAAGGTTTATTGATCACTTTATAAAACTGTTTACAAAAGTGAAAATGAATTAAACTTAAATACCATTAGATCTTAAAATAGATTCTTTTCATTTTTATCGTAATCCTCGATTACTGCATGCCAAACACTACCTATGTCTCAAAATAAACAATTTTATCATTTTCCAAAATGTAAAGATGAGTACACAATTGTATCCTTTGACTTTTGAGTGTATTATCAGGCAAAAGAAGCTGCTAATGTGCAAGACAGATGGCTCATAGTAAACGTGCAATCTACCCGAGAATTTAGCTCACATATGGTATACCTTTTGTTACATATATATACACACATACATACGAACATATAATAAATAGAGTTTTTCCTTGATTAATGTTTGTAAATATTTATTATCCAGCTTAATCGAGATACTTGGGCCAATGAAGCTCTTGCTCAAACAATCACCTCTAATTTCATCTTTTGGCAGGTTTATTTCTTCTTGAGTAGGACATTTTACATGACATATATTAAGATGACCTTGTAATGTTTTTGGCATAAATTAGTGATGACAATTGGACAAAAATTTGCAGTTTTTTGGCCCACCCTGTTTCCTGAAACAAGGTGGGACAAGAACTGATCACAATAGGACAAAGACTGCAAGTTTTGTCCTATTGTCTTTTTGGAACAAGGTGGGACACAGACTGATGCCAATGAGACAAAAATAGCAGCTTTTGTCCTACCTTTTTTGGAACAAGGTGGGATACGAACTAATGACAATAGGACAAAAATTACAATTTTTTACCACCCTCTTTTTAGAACAAGGGCGCTTAGACTCCCCATCAATCTCTTGTTTGTGTAAAAGACATGAATGCCCTTATCCTTGGTATCAAAGATACCCTTAGAAATGTTGTCTTGTTTCGTTTAACAAACGGGGCTTAATTGTCCTTGTACACAAAACTCACTTCAATTTTTTTTTAGTAAAATGGTAACTTTTATAGATATCATGCTTTTAGCATCAATTTTTTTTGTGTTGCAAATAGGTATGTGATGACACTGAAGAGGGGAGCAAAATAAGTACATATTATAAATTAGATTCGGTCCCTGTTACCTTTGTCGTTGATCCCATTACGGGTCAAAAAATGCGCTTATGGCGTGGAATGATCCAACCTGAAAATTTATTGGAGGTAGACATTATTTAATAAGGGGCTCAAATGTCACAAATGGTAGCAAACTATTTGTTCATTTTACAAAACATCATTGTTTTAAAAAACTACTACGATAAGAAAGTAAGCATATGTAATGTTTTGTTCACAAAATACAATTAAAAACCATAAAGATAATGTTTTTTTTTTTTTGTGAACAATGGTGTTTTGTGAAGAAAAAAAGTAGTTCGTTACACATTTATAACATCAACCTTTTAATAAACTTTAGTTAAAACACAAGGTGATTATAGTTCTAATGTGGAAATTTATCTCAATAATAGGCTTTGTTACAATTTATGGACGGTAGCCCAAAAGATCATCATTTAAGCCTGTCTAACAAACGTCCAAGAGAAAATTATAAACCTTCGCCTCCTAAAATCCAAGGTTTGCTAATTTTGTCCATTTCATTATATAGTTTTAAGTATTAAATGTGCATTTATATAACGTTTTACTTTTTTTTTTCCAACTTTATGCAATTGTGTTTCGTTTTTAGGACTAAAAGTTGCAATATTTTACCATTAACTTGTTTAAATGTAGTTGTAGATGAAAGTAATGAAGAAGAGGAGGATATGAAGGTGGCACAAGCATTATCAATGGGAACAATGGAGGATAATAGTGAAACCCTAAAAGATTTGGAAGCCATTAAAGAGGCTCCAAAGCTTAGCTATCCACCATTGCCTGAAGAACCGAAAGTTGACCGGAATTTGACTTGCAGGGTGGGTGTCCGGCTTCCTGATGGACGAAGGGTTCAAAGGAATTTTTTACTGTCTGATCCGATTCAGGTAAAATGGAATGGAATCACAAAGGAATGGAATGGATCATTACATTCCGTTATTATGTTTGTGACATTCAAATGTGTTATTTTATAAAATATACTTTAATCATATAACGGTATTTTACTAAAAAATTGCATATAAACATATTTCATATTTGTTTCAAGTGTATGCTATATGTATTATAAATAGTCAAAAAGAGTTTATATATCCACCTTAAGAAAAAGTTTACAACAATAAAAAATAAATATATAAAATCAAATAACCATGAAATCTTAAAATAGATTCATACTCAAAAAATATTTTTAGGTATTTTTGAAAAAAAAATTAATTATGAATTTTACTAAAAACACGATTGTTACTAAAGAATTTGAGAAGTGGTGTAAATAAGTAGATAAGTATTTTAAGACACTAGCCTTTTACCTATTTTCCTTTTTTCTTATAACTTCATTAATATTGTGAAAAAACACTTTATCCCTACATACATTATTACCCATGTAATCACTTTATGTATATATGATGTCATGTCTTTTGTTGGTTTATTATTATAATGATTTTATTTTGTGCTCATTTTTTATTTTTTTATTTTATAAAGTTGCTGTGGTCATTTTGTGCTGCGAATTGTGGCGATGAACGGGCGTTTAGATTGACTCATGCAATTCCGGGTGCTGTGAAGGATATGGAGTATGAAAGTATGTTGTCATTTGAGGAATCTGGTGTTGCAAATTCCATGATTTCAGTTACTTGGGGTGAAGCTTAAGTGTTATATTTTCTTGTGTTTTTGTATGTATATACTCTTCTTTGCTACTAATTATGACCCAAAGATCCAAGAGCTTTAAATTATATGGTCTGTTTTGGAGCTCTTTATGTTTATTTGTTTATTTACTGATTAAAGTTGATGACATTGTAATCAAGAATTTTTTATTTTTTATTTTTTTTTTGCCATTTTTGTTTTCATGCAAGGGAAAATAGCAGATCGTTATATATTTGTTATAAGAGGTGCTTGCTCACATGTTTGGTATGAAGTAGTTTTTTTAAATGTGTGCTATGGATTAGATATTTTAAACATATACATTTGTGACCACAAAACTACAATTTGGAGTCTTACCATTCTTTTTTGAATTCCAATCAATGTTTCACAATTATGAAATCATATACAACCCAAGGAAATTCAATTTCAAAATGTATCATACATATAAGATAGATTTAAAAAGAGCAATTTTGAATAACAAAACCACTATTAGTTACTTACCAATGGCTAAATATGATTTGTTGATACATACATGTATTATATATATACATACATACAAATACACATGAATCTCTCTACAATGAAAATAAAGAGGCAAAGTAAAGCAAAAAAAGTTTTATCTTTATCCAGCAAAACCATCATCAGACTCCAACTGCTTACGACTTACTAACACGCCTTCATTCCAAATCTCAACATATCTAAAAAACCATCAACACAAACCAAAGGGTTAATATACTCATTTAGTAATTCCTAATATAATAAATCTAAAGAGACTCCATCGAAACATTAACTTTCTATATAATTAACAATAATTTATCTTAAAAAATCATTTATTAGAAGGTTGTATGGATGAATGAAATACAAACCTTGATCCACTGACATCAATACATAGAAATTGACCATTTCGCCATCCATTTTTAAAATGACCAAAAAATATATCACCATTTGTTGAATAAAAACGCCCTTCTCCATTCGCCTTTCCTTTCCAAAAATTCACAAACCACCTATCTCCCGTGTGAAAGTAAAACCATCCCTACATATAAACAAATATCAATTCATGAATAACCTCATGTTATAATATTTTTAATTATTGTCATGTTATTTCTTATTTCTTAAATATAAGATTATTATTTAATTCTTACTTTTCCATGCATGACATCATCTCTCCATGACCCACGAAAAATATCTCCATTACTGAAACAAAATGTACCCAAACCTGATCTTTTACCATAACGCCATAACCCATCATACATGCCTCCATCACCCAATGACAAACGACCCTATAAAACAAAGTTGTTAAGTTTTTAAGGTTTAAGGACTTTTATACATAAGGACAAAAGTTCTAGAACCTTCTAGATCTATATGAGATATACCTTTCCTTCCGGAAGACCTCCCTGACACCTCCCTACATATATACCTCCACGATAGTTTATTTCCACCACAGGACTCCACTTTTTCTGAGACTCACGTTCAGATTCCTGCATCAAATTGTGACATTTTATTAAAGTTAAAGATTGTAAAAAAAAAAAAAAAAAAAAAAAAAAAAGTCAAACAGGTGAGAGGTGAGAAGGTTTTTTTTTTTTTTTCTTTTAAATCTTTTGATCTAATAGTTTAATGTTATTATAATGAAAAGCTGCATTACTTTGACTTGCATTTGTATCATTTGTAGATGGAGGGTAAAAAGGTCATTTAGTCTCTTGTTCAGACGACATCATCAAGTCTTGTATGGATAAAGTGTTGTATACATAAAATCTGTTTCTTTTCTGTATTGGAATAAATTTGTCTGAATGAGACTAAGTGACCATTTTACCCTTCCTATGTAGATGGTACAAATGAAAGTGTTTACAAATTTAATGCATCACCATTAACAATTTGGACATGATAATCAAAGAAACATATGGAAACAAAATAATGCATTAAAGTAAAACACAAGACCAAATGACCATTTTACCCTTCGTCGATATATGATACAAATGGAAGTGTTCATAATTTCGATGCGTAGATATTAACAATCTGGGCATAATATTTAATAAAACATCAAAACATAGTAAGGAATAAAAGTGAAATACAAGACTAAATGACCATTTTACCCTTCGTCTATAAATGACACAAATACAAGTGTTTTAATAATTTCAACGCACCACCATTAACGTCTTGACATAATCTTTTTACAGAAACATAATAATGCATAAAAGTAAAATACAATGCTAAATGACCATTTTACCCTTCGTCTATAAATGATACAAATGCAAGGATTCATAATTCGATGCATCACCATTAAGACATAATATCTAAACAAACATACTCAAAGAAACATAGAAACCTAATCATGCATACAAGTAAAATAGAAGATTAAATGACCATTTTACCCTTCGTCTACAAATGATACAAATGCAAGTGTTTTCATAATTTCGATGCATCAACATTAACATCTCGACATATTCTTTAAACGAACATGATCAAAAAAACATAGAAACATAATCATGCATAAAAGTAAAATACAAGACTAAATGACCATTTTACCCTACGTCGACATATGATACAAACGAGTAAAAGGAGAGATAAATATGCAGATAAAAGTAAAAAATTCATTTAAATTCTCACCAGCATAGATGCAGCACGAGCAGAAAGTCTTCCATTTTTCTTGGAAACACCATTTTTATTACTGTTAAAATCCATTGGTGTTTGTGAACTAGCATCAATGGATTCATCAAATGACATGCTTACAGGAAACTGAATCTCATCTTTCATTTCAAGTTCACTACTTTCCTCTGGGTGGTAAATGACCCTTGTGCCCTTGGGACAATCTTTCATGTCTCCAGATAGTTTTACACCGACTGGAAGTTTATAAGGGTTCAAATTGTCAAGCATTAAAGTATCACCAGAGTTATTTGTATCAGTCACTGTTTCATCATTAGTGAGAAACCCTGGCCTTTTGTTAATCAGAAGCTCCCTTTGAAGTGTCATTGATCCTAAAAAAAAATTATGTAATTAAAAATATATATTAGTTTGGACTATAACGCCCTCGATGAGTGGCGGAAACACACAATGGAATTCTATTTCAACCTTCAGCAGTATTTTGTTCAGTGGCACCATGATCCCTAGAAAAGGAAAGAAAGAAATGAAATTTAAAAAAAAAAATTGAAGATGATAATATAAGTTTTTCTTTTATTTTTAAATTAGAATGAAGAAAGAAAACAAACCTTGAAAAAGTTTTTGCATCAGTAGTAGCATCGGTCAATATCGACTGAAGTTCTGAAGACCAATTATGGGAACCATTGATGGAATTTACATTTTGGTTTTTATATTTTTCTTTTTCTTGAATTGTTTCAGGGTGTGAATGTGGCCTCAAAATGTTGAAAATGTAAGGAAAACTTTGGAACATTCTAGAAAATATGCCGTCTTTTTTAGGAGACTCCTGTTTGATATAACTGAGAATAACACAAGGAAAGTGTGTCAAAAGAAATTAAGAAAAACAAGAATAAGGGTATTTTCGTCATCAATAAGAATAACTGAGAATGACAATAGCAAGTTTGTCATGTGTTTGGTTGGCAGGAAATGGAGTAGAATTCAATAATAAAAATGAAATATTTTTCATATTTTCACTTCATAATTAATTATTTTTATTTTCATTTATTTCAATATATAATGAGGGTATTCTGGTCTTTAATAGGAAAAAGAAAGAATGGACTTGAATTCCAGTTGGATTCCGCCAGAATTCAATTCCATTCTTCCTTTTTCTTATTAAAGACCAAAATACCCTCGTTAGGACAATTACCCGATAGTGAATATGGTCGTTGCAATTGAGTTAGGGTTCATATCCGGTTCATGAACTACTGAAATAACAATATCGCCCTTCCATTCCGCAACTTGACGAAATTTACTTAAAATGCCATCCAAATCACTCCTGTTAATGATTGCTGAGCTGGCGAGGATGAATACAACAATTCCATTTAAGCCCTGGAATTTCAGAAAGTCATATGACAAAAAATATAAGAAAATTATAGATTTATATCATCAAAATGCTGAAATATTGTATTTATTTTCTACAAACCTTTACACCCAAACCAAGAAAAGGGCAATCATATATGGCTTGAGAAACTGAAGCTTCAATGTCATTACCAATCCCATATCCAATTTTTGCCTCCTTATAGCTTCCTAAAATCTGATGTCCATTTTGGTCATTTATGTCATTATGTGATTATTATTTATTCCTAACATAAACAATAAGTAACATAGATGTGTTATAGAAATGTACTTTTTTAAGATCTGTGACTCCAAGTTCTTTCATACTCTCATGTGGTATACTTAGAAACTTTTTGTTGCACTCCTGAAAATGATAAGATGATTAAGATCACAAAGTTAAAAGGACAATTAACATATGGAGATATAAAATATGTTGATAACTTACAGATGTGAGAATGGAAACTGCATTTAATGCCATTAAAACAGCATTATTTGCAATCTGTAATGCCTCATCCAAAGTTACAAGATCTTTTTCTAGAAGTGCATCTGCATCAATCACTGTGGAAAATAAAAAAAAAATGGTAGATATATCATTGAAAAGAAAAAAAATGGTAGATATATCATATATCTATGAAAGAATACTCACTGATACAGAAATCTGTAAGTCCCTCAAGCTTATACATCAGGTCTTTTACCTGAAAATAAAACATATCATTGCATTATTTTTATTGTTTGTCTTCTTATACATTTTATTAAGTAAATAAAAAGAAAAAAAAAAAACCTCATTTTGGCGCCTTTGTCCTTCGAATCTAAAAGGCTTCAGAATGATAGTCACAACAAAGCCATTTGCAAGCTTTATTGATTCAAATATATCATGTAAAACAGTAAGATCTGATCCATAAGATGCCCCAGCTACCTAGAGAAAACAAAAGAAAGTTTTAAAGAAGTTAAATTTAATGGCAATCAATCTGATTTATTTGTTTAATCTTTTGTTTATGTACTTGAAGAGTTTAATGTAGGTAAGAGTTAAGGAATGTACAAACAAGTATAACAGCTTTTGAATGTGACTTCATGGCTACAGACTCTTCCACAAATGTTTTGGTGATATCTGCAAAATGGAAAATTAAATCTAATCACTAATAAAAGACACTTCATGCAAATATATTAACTATGTCCATGGAAATATGCAAAAGCTCACCATCCCCAAGTAATCGTTGTTGTAATTGCACCTTGAATGTTTCTTCCACAATGATATTCCTGCAACAATACAGCACAATTTTAGAAAGGGATAAACCAATCACCTTTTCACATGAGTCAATTGCTTCTTTAATTCTTCAGTTACACATCCCAAATAAGCATATGGTTCCAAAATCCACATCAAATGAAAAGAAAGTTGTAAAGCATTCTACAGTACGCATACATTAGGTTACTTATGCATACCAGAACCGTAAGCGTCGCGAAAGCGATGAAGAACGCAAACAGAAGTCAAGAACTGCATCCTTCCGACTTCCAATCCCAATTACTTCCACAGCCTCAGTTTCTTCCCATAAATTCAAAGCCCTCTCTCTGCTCAATATTGGTGTAGACGAAGACGAATGTTTGTCGAAACTCGATTTGATTCGGCGGAGGCGTTTCGAATTACTACTAAATTGTAATCTTCTCAAATGGAACTGGCAATGGTATTTACAGGGCCCATCGAATGAGCGTTTAGGGCAAAGTGAAGGTGAAGAGAGTCTGATAGAGATATTGATTGCTGTTAACGGGAGCTCCATGGAGATGCAGGAGAATATCAAGAGAAAATCGATGGGTTCACGAGGAGGCGTCGGCCATGTCGATACTTAGCGGCGACGCATCACCAGAATACTTCCACCTCCAGAGTTACAGTAGCGATTGATTGAGGATAACCAAGGAGGCAAGGACAAAGAATCTCAGTTACCATTTATGTATGTTTTGGATGGAATGAGATGCAACTCAAAAACATCGGATATCGGGTCGGGTCTATTATTTACAACAGCAACCCTTCAAAGTTAAAGATTTGAACATAGACAACTCCGTGGAGTTTAATTCTATTATTATAGTAGCTTTTTAATTTTTTAATTAAAAGTAGATTTTTAATTTTGTATATTTAAAATGTTTGATATCCTCTTAATTTTTATCTTTTAATGATAATTACATACAAAAGGAAAAGAAGTAAAACTCGGAAACTCTATCACACTAATAATAAACATTATCTCTCTAAAGTGTAACATGTGAACCACATCTAATTGAATAATTCCAACAAACTAAGTTCCTAATAAACCTAATCATTGTCCATTAAAGCAACTATATTCCATAAAATTTAAAATTTAATTCGATAACAATTAAAAATTCTGATTTTTTGCATGCATAAACAACTAAAGACTGTATATGGCTTATCAATTATCATGACCAACAGAACAAAATGATGCACAAGAGAAACGAGATGGTGTTCTGGATTAAGCATATCGCAGATGACAAATACGATTTTGGCACAAAGCAAATAATTGAAACAAATGACAAATATCAAATTATCAATAATTAATTTGATAGACAAATGAATAAGTTTGTGTGTGGTTGCATGTGTCTGGTTGCCGTAAAGTTCACAAACATCACAAACGGTTCCATTTTAATTTGAGAAATTGCATTTGAATGAGTATAGATGTATTAAAGTTGACATTTAAAATGTTAAATTCACACTTAATCTATGAATTCAAAATTGATTTATGTCATAAAAAAAACAAAAACAAAAAAGAAAACAAAAAATCGAGTTCATGTGACCATTGAAACTTGAAATTTGAAATTGAGAAGAATTATGGGGTTGATTCAACCCTTTAACAAAAACCATCATTTCTATCTATAAGTGCTTCGACCATTGCCATGTGGAGGATGACACTTTTACAATTTATTAGCATTTCCCCCCATTTTGACATTACTCTCCGCCTTTCTTTTGATCTTTGAATTCCATATATTTTGATGCAACATTTTCACATATTTAATTCTAAAATTCTAATCTTGATTTGGGCTAGCGGAATGACTTTTATCCTAGGTCCAGGAAGTTGCATATGTAAAATTGGGCCAATATGGAACGTCTATCAATTTATTTACTCCATATCCTAAAGTTTCAACTTTCAAGGCCCGTGAAACGTGGATCGTGGGCGACCTCAAGGTGTGTTGCACATCCTCTGGATTGGGCCTAGGTAGCCCATAAGTCTACTAGAATATACTAAGGGGAAGTGATGCCACAAGTTATGCCTCCACATCGGATAAAAGGACTTCATTCAATAGATGTTCTCTAACATGTGATTAAGCATATGTAAGTCGTGGAAAAAAAATATAGGAAAACGGCATAAATAGAACAAAAGTATATATTAACAATTAATCACAAAAGCAAATGCATGCAGTTGAATTAGGGACAAAAAGGGAGGAACCGTGAAAATGTGTGAAAAGCAAACATTGGAAAAGCACATTAAAGGTACATAGCACATCTACAAAAAGAGATAGGATAATTCATCACTTTAGATTAGCCTTCACACCTTTCTATATAAGGTTGTGTTCTTAAGAGCTAGTTCCTTCGTGTCTAATTTTACGTTAGCTTCCTACTTCCTTCTTAGGCATCCTCTCATCCATGCCTCATCCATAGTGATCGATTCCACCTCACAACTATCATAATTTTCTTCCCCTCAATTTTCGATGATCAATGCCACACATAATGTATTTTTAAATGGTGCATTCAGGGTTCTATCTAGAAGAGTTCTACCACATGTCTGCCACAATCATCATCATTTCTACCTATTTTCATCTTCTTGCTCGTGCACCTAGAGGGTGTTTGGGATTGCTTTTGAACATCAAAAGTTCTTTTGGTAGAAGGACTTTTTATAGAAGGACCTTATGCAAAAGATGATATTTAAAATGTGTTTGGATTAATAAAATGACTTTTGGCCTAAGTTATGTATGTAAAGCCCCAAAAAGTCACAAAAAGTCACAAAATGTGACTTTTTGAAACTCCTTTTTTTTCTCTTTGCAAAAAGTTATTTCAAAAGAACTTTTTTATTATCCAATCAACTTTTGACTTTTTAAAAAGGAAAATCTCCAGAAAAATCCTAAAATTTTAGTATAATTTATGAAAAAGTCTCAAACTAAATTTTGTTTACAGAAAAGCACAGAATACCGGTTAAAACTTCAAAAAAAAACCCTTTTCGGCCGGTTTCACAGATTTTGCCGGTATTTTGTCCTTTTTCGTTAGTTTGCTCAAAATTTTAGGACTTTTCCAAAAATTACATAATAACCAAAATATTGGGACTTTTTTGAAAATTACCATGAAATTAAATGATATTATTATTAACAAATCATTTATAAACATAAAAAATATTTTTATTATAAAAAAAGAAAATACATTTGTTGTTAATTTCTAGGAATAAATTGGTGGTGTAAGTACTTCTCTATTGCTTCCTGACCACTCAAACTCTCTACGTTCTTCCTATGCATTGTTGTGGGTATGATGGTGAGATGTACTTAGTTAGTATTCATCTAATGTTGGTGTCCATCTTATGTTGTTTAACTTAACTACCAACCAACATTCATACCTCACATGTTAACAACCATCGGCTAACACACATCTATAAAATGTGAAAAGTGAACCGTGAATGATAATTTATATGGAAACAAGTGAAGGGTGGTTATCTATTTAAATTGTCGTTCAAAGTTTACTTTTCACTCTCGATAGATGTTTGTAATTTTATGGTTGTTACCGCATAATGTTTGGAGGTTAGGTGGTAGTTAGGTTAAAGAACATAATGAAAGATCTATATGTTCGTGTAATGATACTTTCTAATAACATGTGATCATATAGCATCATGTCTAATAGCAAGTAGACACTTATTGATTGTGTATTAATAAATATTATCAACTCTTGTATTGGTTACGCCTAACAGAGTACTTCTCACTATCACATCCACAACGATACATAGGAAGAACAAAGAGACTTTGAAGTGGTCAACAAACAATAGAGAAGTACATAGTCGACCATTCTGTTCCTAAAAATTAGCAACAAATATATATTTCATTTGTTTATAATAAAAAATATTTTTTATGTTTATAAATGATTTGTTAATAATAATATCCATTAATTTCATAGTAATTTCAAAAAAGTCCCAATATTTTGTTTATCGGGTAATTTTCAGAAAAGTCCTAATATTTTGAGCAAATTAACGAAAAAGGACAGAATACCGGCTAAATCTACGAAACCGGCAAAAAATGGTTTTTCGAAGTTTTAGCCGGTATTCTGTGTTTTTCTGTAAACAAAAATTAGTTCGTGACTTTTTCATAAATTAGACTAAAATTTTAGGACTTTTCTGGAGATTTGCCTTTTAAAAAAGTTAAAAATTAAAAAGTTATTCTAAAAGCAATGCCAAACACCCTCCTATATTCGAACAACATTCAGATATGTACATCATAAAAACTACTGCCCTATAAAAAAAAATTCATGATCTTTCATCCGACCTTCTTCTCATACAAGACTCGTGTGGCATCCCTCCACGTTAACCAACCAACTTTTAAGGATGAGTAACGTCACACAACCGAAAAGTGATAGTGTATCGTAAATTATTGGGTATATTACTTAATATATTATAAATAGATAATTGAGTTGGTGGTTGATGTTTCATATGTAAACTAATATGTAAACTAATAAGAAGAAATGGCCCCTAAACTTTCTAAAAAAAATCAATTTTAGTCCGGTTTTAGAGTTTCACACATAGGTAGCCCTTCATGTTTCATCTTGAAGTTTTGGTCCCTAAAGCTAACAGTGCTAACTTTTACTGTCAAAACCTTTTTGAAATCACTTTTATGCCATAACATTCTCATTATTTTTATTATTATTGTTATTATTTAATTTCTTAATTAATTCAACATTTAAACTTACAAAGGACATAGAGCCTATGATCCATCATAGACAACCCTTCTCTTTCCACTCCTCTATCATCCTTCTCTCTCTATTTTTCTCTTTTAATCACTATATCTCCTAGTATTTTCTTCATCCTTGCAACCATTATAGGCTCATCGAAAGAGACAATAAGAATCATCATTAGTTCCACCTCTTTTTCTTGCTTTCATACCCTATTTGAAAGCATTATATCTCTTCATTCCTTTTAGTCTTTTATGTGATGTATTCCCCCCCCCCCCCCCCCCAAAAAAAAAAAAAAAGAAGAAGAAGAAGGAACTTGTAACATTCCAAAAATCACGATAATTTTTTTTCATTTTTAACTTAAAAGAAATCATTGTTTTCAACAAAACCCATATCAAATCAAGTATCAAATACAAATATCTCCAAGATCAATGTATCATAAAATCTCCCAAAACATATCATCGAAGGATGTGTACGATCACGTCTTATACTTGTCCCGATCATCCGAAATACCTGAAACATAAAATTGAAATTGTAAGCCAAAACTTAGTGAGTTCCCCCAAAGTACCACATAGCACAACCAAACAGATATAGAAAATGCATGTTGGGTCCACAACCTCCCGATTGGCTTACCCTGGCCCACAACCTCCTGGTTGGATTGCCCTGCAAATAACGTATTGGGTCCACAACCTCCCGATTGGATTACCATGGCCCACAACCTCCTGGTTGGATTGCCCTGGCCCACAACCTCCCGGTTGGATTTCCCCGTGTTTGTTGACTGATCGCACGAAGCAGTACAGTCTCAACCTAACCATATTATACCGCATAATAACATCCTATATACCAGGACTCACTTCTAACAAATCAATATGACATATCAACATTCCCTAAACCATGGTACATAACTCAGTGGGCCGACATTAATGCCTTCGACCAGCAAGTACAGTGAGGAAAACTCACATCTCAGTCTGAAAAAGAATTTTGAATAGGATACAGTTCTGAATGTCAACACAATCGGTCACCT